GGATTGTAACTCATAAGGCTTTTAATGACATTAGGACTGACAAAACATGTCATATAATGTGTAATAAAATAACCCATAACAACTGTAGAGGGTTTTTTCATTGATCATATACGTATAGTCGCGTATCAGTTGGAAAGTTCATATTTGGCAGTAAACATCAGTAAAGAAAAGATCTGTTCTAAAGTGGAACTAAACTACATCTGAGCACCACGATATGAAAATGCTATTGTATTTATTTTTAATATCTAAAGCAAATTCACTGATCCATCCATATCTCCATGCTTTATTTTGTTGAAAAATCACTTTAACACCCCCCCCCCCAACATTTCTAATTGCGCCCATCTTGAGTAAGGGAAATTATTCTTGTAGCATTTACTCTCTACAATCCATCTGCTTTTAGCTCAGAAAGGCAGAAGGACATGCTTCCTGCAAAACTCTGGGATGTATCCAGGGGCGGACTGACAACTCATGGGGCCCTCGGGCAATAGGGGAATCATGGGGCCCCTGTGTCCTCGCCCACACTCAAATCACACCCAAAAAAGCCTATGAAAGGTACCAGGGGCATCTCATGGGGCCCCCTACTGACCCTGGGCCCTCAGGCAGTGCCCAAGTTCCCAAATGGTCAGTCCGCCCCTGAAAGTATTACATCATTTTAGCCTAGGCCAGAAACCAAGGAAGCAAGTTAAGAAATTGGAAAAACAAAAAGTTTAAAACAAAGTGTATATAACATACCCTCCTATCTATTTACTAATGCTAGCAGCGTAAGAATTAAAATAGTTAATATTGATTGAGAGAGTTTAGTTCCACTTTAAGAGTATACACTGGTGCTCAATTTTACACCGCTAGCAAAAGCTAGCAAGTTACTTTTTTTTCTTCATAAGACTGAGAGCTATATAACATAATGTTCAACTGGTTCTAAAGGCTGAAGGTTTTTTCCTTCATACATTCTATGCATTAAGATAAAAAAAACCTTCTGTGCCAGATGTTCCCACTATCTCCCCTCCCTTGTACTGTACTTAAATGAGCCTGATTTTGAACCAACAATGTGCATAAGAGCAGTGACTCACTCTGCTCTCTCTTCTTACTGGGCAAATTGATAGCTGCTGTCAATCAAATTCTGCAATGTGGAAGCAGGAGGCAGGGCCACGATGCTCTGTCATGTACAAAATTGGTCTTATAGAAATTAAAACCTTCACAAAAACATTACTATGTTTCTAGTTCTCAAATCACTCTCTTTCTCAAGAATGAGTATTGCCCTCTTACAGCGGTTAGGTTCTATGAAGAAAGCTCTTATTAGAATGCCAGTTTAGCAGAAAATATTGGACCTCTATGGGCAGCAAGTCACAGCCTACTTTAATTTCCTGGCAGTTCCCTTAAAGTAGTTATAAAAGTGGTTGTAAAGTTCAAGGTTTTTTACCTTCATGCATTTTATGCACGAAGGTAAATAACTTTCTGTGCAGCAGCCCCCCCTAATACTTTCCTGAGCCCCATCGAGATCCAGCAATGTGCACAAGAGCCTTGACTCTGCAGGGACTCTCCCTCCCCACTGGCTGAGACAGAATTGGAGGCATTGTCTGCTGCTGTTGATTACAGCTAGTGAGCCAATGAGGACAGAGAGGGGGCAGGATTGAGCTGCAGCAGAGCATGCGGAGAAGCAGCTCAGGAGCAAGCCTACTTGGGTGCCCCCATAGCAAGCTGCTTGCTCTGGGGGCACTCAACTGGAGGGAGGGGCCAGGAGCACTGGCGGGAGACCCAAAAAAGTGGAGGATTGGGGCTGCTCTGTGCAAAACCACTGCATAGAGCAGGTAAGTATAACATGTTTGGTATTTTAAGTGATATTAAAGGCATTTTTTTTTCATTTTAAAGACTGAAGGTTTTTTTTTCTATGCATAGAAGGTAAAAAAAACCTTCACTGTGCAGCTCCCCCTACTACTAACCTGAGCCCAATCTCAATTCAGCTATGTGCACAAGAGCAATGGCTCTCCCAGGTCTCTCCCTCCTCATTAGCTGGGACACAGCAGCAGGAGCTATTGACTCCCAATGCTGTCAATCACAGCTAGTGTGGAGGGAGCAGGGGGCAGGACTGAGTCACTCTCTGGGTGTCCCATAGGGAGTGAGCAGGCATGGGTTCCTGAGTTGCTGCTTGCTCTGGGGGAAAGGGGGAGGGTCCAGAAACATCAGCAAGGGACCTGAGAAGAGGGGGATCGTTGCATCAAAACCATTGCACAGAGCAGGTAAGTATGATGTGTTTATTGTTTACAAAAGCCTTTAGAACCACTTTAAGACAGACAATCTTGGAATGACCCCCTTTGTATCAAAGAGTTATTATTAATAAGATTTTCTTTTTCACTATTCAGATTTAAAGGATAAGTTCACCTTTTGTAACACGTTACACCCATATTCAGGGTGCAACATGTTACGAAAGGACTGGCCCCCAATCCCTTTTTGTGACAGCTAGCGGGAGATCTTCTCCAACAGCCTTTGTGGCTGTTGGCTTGTAGTTCTCAATGACCTACCATGGTGCTGTGGAGTGTCATTGTTAATTGATTTGAAGTCCTCATGCACACTGGACATTTTTACAGCTGCTGTGTTTGGCTTTTGACATTTTTTTTCTACAGCCAGTAAACTCCCCCAGCATGTTATCCTATGTGTCCATGTAGTCAGCATTTTTTGGCTGGAAAAACCCCCAGAACTAATGGGTTTCTCGAGGAGTTTTTTAGCTGTAAAAATGCTCTAATGCTGCAAAACATGGTAAATTGCTGCAAACTGGCACTTTTGGACTTTTTTTGGTAAAAAAAAAGTTAAGAAACGCAAACGCAAAAAAACGAGGCAAAATGCTGCTAAACGTTAATGCAAAACCGCTAAAAACCGCTGAAAACCACATTTTTAATGATTATTATTAAAACGCCCCATGTGCATGGAGTCTGTCAGAGTGTACCTGCTTGACTGTATGATATACAGGGACACATATATATTGTCAGGTCTGCAGGAATTCTGTATGTTTGCAGGCTCCCAAAACAAAAAATAGTAAATGCGCATTTTTTTTTTTTTTGCCTTCAAAAAATGTGCAATTATTAGTTTTTGTTAAAAGGTGAACCTATCCTGTAAATCTACCCTAGACATTTGAATCTGATGAGCAATACATCCAGCAGAGAGAAACACAAACTTTTGAAAGAACACCTACCCACCCCATATGGGAGGAGATCTCTGGAAACTGTTAGAGCAGATTAGGCAAACCTCTGAGTATGGTAGACTGAATATACTTCCTGACTTTAGTACAGCTGCAGTATTTCCTGGGTAGCAGTTGACTGGCTGATCTCACTTGTTGCCTAGAATTGCCCTTTAATCAGAGCTAATGTTGAGATGGAAAGACATTATTGTCCTTCCTCGGTAAAACAAACTATTGTTAGAGCTGTCTTCAACTTTAAATGAATCTAACATAATAAAAAATGTATTTCATTCAGTTCATGCTTTGTTCAAAACTTACATCTGGAACACTTGTCAAAACTATGAGAACCTAATTTTTCACCTGTTTATGTGCTACAATAAGGCATAATCAGAGGACACGCATATAATGCTTTATTCATGCCACAAACTGGCACCCTTCTATTGCAAAAAATGATGGCAGGATTACCATTTAATAAATTATAACACCCCCCTCATTATAACAGATGGGGAACAGTGACACAGGGAAGATAACAGCTGTGACATGTTTGATGAATGCTCCGAAAAGATTGTAAGCCATGAAAACAAACACATAATACTTGTTCCCATTCCACTGTTCCCTGCTGTCCTATGGTAGTGGCACAGAAGCCAAGTATAGCATTACTTGCAAGTCTATCCTGACTTTCACCTGTCAGATTAAAGTGTCATGTTACAGCAAGACTGATACAGTGTTGTACTGAGTAGGGGAATACAATTCCATTCTCCTTTCAGATGGAGGTCCTGGCATTATCAGAGAGTAATGCAAAAATTTCCATTTCAATTGGGTAAGCAAAAAAATGTATGCAGAGTGCTAAGAATAATAAATACTGGTATTGCTGCAATGAATCTTCTTTTTGTCAAAATATATAAACACTATTAAGAGTTTCACTGAGCCAGTCAGCAGTCTCACAACTATAAAAGCCCTATAAGTACGCTGAAATTATATTCCACTGAGTTCCTGAAAATTCATATTAAGGAATATATATAAAAGGATACTGTTATCTTTTGTGAAATAAAGGCATATATATACACACTATATTGCCAAAAGTATTGGGAAGCCTGCCTTTACACGCACATAAACTAAAATGGCATCCCAGTCTTAGTCCGTAGGGTTCAATTCTGAGTTGGCGCGACTTTTGCAAATATAACAGCTTCAACTCTTCTGGAAAGGCTGTCCACAAGGTTTAGGAGTATGTATTTGGGAATGTTTGACCATTCTTCCAGATGCGCATTTGTGAGGTCAGGCACTGATGTTGGATGAGAAGGCCTAGCTCGCAGTCTCCGCTCTAATTCACTCAAAGGTGTTCTATCGGGTTGAGGTCAGGACTCTGTGCAGGCCAGTCAAGTTCCTCCACCCCAAACCCGCTCATCCATATCTCTGTAGACCTTGCTTTGTGCACTGGTGCGCAGTCATGTTGGAACAGGAAGGGGCCATCCCCAAACTATTCCAACAAAGTTGGGAGCATGAAATTGTCCAAAATCTCTTGGTATGCTGACACCTTAAGAGTTCCGTTCACTGGAACTAAGGAGCCAAGCCCAACCCCTGAAAAACCCCACACCATAATCCCCTCTCCACAAAACTTTACACTTGGCACAATACAGTCAGGCAAATACTATTCTCTGGTAATCGCCAAACCCAGACATGTCCATTGGATTGCCAGACAGAGAAGCGTGATTCATCACTCCAGAGAACACATCTCCACTGCTCTAGAGTCCAGTGGTGAAGTGGTATACACCACTGCATCCAACGCTATGTATTGCACCTGGTGATGTAAGGCTTGGATGCAACTGTCTGGCCATTCCGTGTAGCTCTCTACGCACTGTTGTTGTGCTAATCTGAAGGCCATATGAGGTTTGGAGGTCTTCAGCTATTGACTCTGCAAACAATTGGTGACTTCTGCACACTGTATACTTCAGCATGTGCTGACCACGCTCTGTCATGTTACATGGCCCACCACTTCATGGCCGAGTTGTTGTTGATCCCAGTTGCTTTCACTTTATTACAATACCACTAACAGTTGACTGTGGAATATTTAGTAGCAAGGAAATTTCACGGATGGACTTATTGCACAGGTGGCAACCTATCACGGTACCACACTTGAATTCACTAAGCTCCTGAGAGTGACCCATTTTTTCACAAATGTTTGTAGAAGCAGTCTGCATGCCTAGGTTCTTGATTTTATACACCTGTGGCCATAGAGGTGATTGGAACACCTGAATCCAATGATTTGGAGGGGTGTCCCAATACTTTTGGCATAAATGAGTGCACCCCAACAGATTTTTCAAAAATCCTTTACTTTACTTTCAGAATCAACATTGTCTATGGGACACTATACTAAAAAATACTCCCATAATGGGCCATTGATTGCAAACAAGATTTGTTAATTTGCACACACAAAAAGTATTATTCCTAACAAATTTATTCAAGATCATGTTGTAAAAATGAATACACCCCAATGAAAGCCCTAGTAGCAAAGCTAAATTTTAGACAACAAAATCCTAGTTAACAAGAATTCAACTAAAGGTGAGTCTAATTATTCAATAAACAGGTGTCCAGCAGACAGTTGATAATAAAAGGGTGTTACTTAACAAAGAAAACCCCTTCCCATTTCATGCTGTCAGCAATGGCACCACATGGAAGAGAAATGTCACAAGCCCTGAGAAAAAGAATAAGTTCTTTACACAGAAAGGTTAAGGCTACAAGAAGATCACCAAAACTTTACTTATCAGTCAGAATACTGTAACAACAGTGATACAAACACTTAACAAGCGTTAAGTCTCACAGAGACATCCAGGCCTTCCAAAGCAGTTAACACCTCAACAGGAGTGTTTTCTGGTGAGTAGGGTGGAAGAAAATCACCATGCAAGTTTACTGCAGTTAGCTAAAGAAGTAGAAATCCAAACTGGGGTGATTGTTTCCTGTAACACAATACGGCATACACTTCAGAGGAATGGCATGTATGTGTGTCATCCACGAAGGAAGCCTCTTCTAAAGACCTTGCACAAAAAAGCTTGCCAAGGATTTGCCAGGGCCCATGTTGAAAAAGAAGACAACTACTGGGACTTGTCTCATCACTCCAGAGTACAAAGATACATTTTTTTGGAACTGATGGTTTCAAAATTGTATGGCGTTGTGAGGTAAGGAGTACAAAAAAAAAATGCATGGTGCCTACAGTGAAACATGGTGGTAGCAGTATCCTTCTGCGGAGTTTCATTGGTGCTGCTGGTGTCGTGGAGCTGCATTTCATTGATGGTATCATGAATTCACAGATGTACTGCTCTATATTGAAAGAGAAGATGCTACAATCAGTCCATGCCCTTGGTCATCACGCACTTTTCCAACATGACAATGCTCCAAAACACAAATCTAAAGCCACTGTTGCATTTCTGAAGAAGAACAGGGTGAAAGTGATTCAGTGGCCAAGTATGTTTACTGATCTGAATCCAACTGAACACCTATGGGGAATTTTGAAGAGTCAAGTTGAGCATCACTCTCCATCCAGCATCCAGGCTCTAAAAGAGGTCGTTCTTAAACAATGGAAAAAGATAGATGTTTTAATATGTCGCCAACTTGTTCATTCCATGCCTAGAAGACTTGGTGCTGTCCTTACAAATCATGGAGGTCATACAAAATATTAGATGGGGTAGTTTTTTTGTTGTGGGGTGTATTAATTTTTGCATCAACTAATTTGAGTAAAACTGAAGATTTTATAAAGTTTTTTATTATTAACATTACTTCCATGTAATGAGCTAAACAAATGTTCTATAAAATCACTTTTGTCAAAACTCTGGAAATTGTTCTTGTGTTCATTGAGATATCGATCAAAATCTTACTTTTCTAAAGGGGTGTACTCATTTATGCTGAGCACTGTCTATTATATATATATATTATATATATATATATATATATATATATATATATATATACATATACACACACACTGTGTATATTAAAGACCACACTTTACTGGGAGGCATATTGAAACTTTAGGATGCTGTGTTGTTTTATATTATAAATAGTGCAAGGAGAATCCATAACATAAACATAGTTAAAGTAAATGTATAGCCAAAATGATTCTTTTTGTTTTGAATAGAGCAAAGAGTGATTTGAACTCTTTTGAAGTGTTATTTCTCTTTACCTTCCAGGTAGATTCATAAGCCTAGTACACAAAATGAGAAAATCAGGCAAAAATACCCCTTTCTTAGTGATTGTCCAATAATCTGACAGTTAGTACATAGCTTTTGAGAGCCTTTCATGTGAAATTATCCAAAGGGAAAAGCACAAACATTTTTTTTCTACGATAACAGAACAAATGATTTTTGATTAATCAGTATGGTATTCATCTGAAATAAAATTGAGTGACCAAGACCGTACACCATGCTTGCTCAGAAACAAAAGAAATACATTACAATACATTTACATATACAATACGTTACATCACTTCCAAAGTTATATTCTATCTTACAAGAATTTTTGTAATTTAAGTACCCTCTTCATTTCGAAATGAGACTAGCATGCAAAAAAACAGACAACCATTTGTCTGGTATTCTCATTGTGTGTACGAGGCTTTAGTGACCACTGCCAATGAAACCTGAAAGTGATAAAATATCGAAAATTTTACAGCAGTCACCAGAAAAAAGTTAAAAGTTAAATCTTCTGGAAACACCTCTCTAAGTAGTGTATTCCCCACACTTTGCAGGCATTTGCTCTTACTTTCTGTTGCATCTTTGGGACAAATGAAGAGAAATATCCCCAAGGGGGCACAGACAAGCCTGGCAGGGATTTTAACCATTACCTGCAGTATAAATGAAATGTTTTGGCTTAAATTTATTTATGTTGGCTAAATTTACAGTAGCTAAAATAAAATAGAAAACCCATAGTTCTTCCAGAGGAAGGCAAGACTTATAAAGCATTTACTCTAGCGGGGAACATTTTTCTTTTTGATCCACGAAGGAAATTTTATACTTTTTGGATCAATATGTATAAATAAGCTATGTCTTATAAATATTAATCCTCAGGACTGAAACCGCATGTTAATCAAAGTTTGCTAAGTATTTCTTCTTGATCCTGGAATTTGTTGCATTTAATCTGTCCCTGTTGGGTACAAGTTTTCTATGAAGCTTTTCTATGTGGTTTGATTACGTATGTGTAGAGTTTAGATGACTGAACATGCTACCAATGTTAATATTCTAGTTTCATTGGGTAATAAAGTCATGATTTTATTTTCCTATGTTTGATACTTTCTCTGATTGCCATATATACTCGAGTATAAGCCGACCCGAACATAAGCCGAGGTACCTAATTTTACCACAAAAAACTGGGAAAAACTATTGACTCGAGTATAAGCCGAGGGTGGGAAATGAGGCACCTACTAGTCAATGTAAAAAATAAAGATAGAGACCAATAAAATCACATGAATATTTGTGGGGTGTCAGTGGGGGGAGGAATAGTGCCCCATCGTTGGTGTCAGTGGGGGGAGGAATAGTGCCCCATCGTTGGTGTCAGTGGGGGGAGGAATAGTGCCCCATCGTTGGTATTAGTGACACCAATGATTGGGCACTATTCCTCCCACTGACACCAATGATACTTACCTTGCTGACCCCTGCTCCAGCCTGGGCTCGCTCACTCCCTCCCTCTCCCATGGTACACACTTACCGGGTCAGATGTCTTCCTTCTCCGGCCGCTCTCCTCTCTTCACTCGCTCGATCTTCGCGGTGCCGCTCGGCTCCTCCTCTCCAAGCTCCACCTCCTCGCCGGTGATTGGGCGCCTGTGTGCCTCTCCTGAGCTACAGTTCCGGCGGCCAATCACCGGCGAGGATTGATCCCGGGGGGGTGTGTCCAGATGACAGGGACGGCATGTCATCCCGCAGACGTTGACTCGAGTATAAGCCGAGGGGGCCGTTTTTCAGCACAAAAAATGTGCTGAAAAACTCGGCTTATACTCGAGTATATACGGTAACTTTTGCTTTAGATGGCAAACCTACAGTATTTATTATATAACAATCTTGTGACAAGCACCACTGTTCTCTTTTGCGCAACACTTCTGTTTAACATAATTTTATAAGCAACCAGGTTCATCCTCCTAAAAATTGAGCTTTTAATCTAAATTAAACATGTATATAGTAATTTCCTGCTTTTATACTGTGTAGTCTGAACGTACATTTGTATGTACACAAAGTATGCTAAAGGCAATCAGCTGCTTGTGTCCAGTTTGCTGCCTGGCTGTGGAAGTATTACATAGGTATATTGTAAGTACTGATGAGTAAGGGCACTTTCATTTGTTACACTCAGCAATCACAATAAGCTCCAGTTTGTGTTGTCCTTAAATGAACATTTTTTTAAAATTAAATACCAACTGTAATGAATTTGCATGTAGACCAAAATAAAATGCTTGCTCCAGTAACTGTCGATATAGTCAGGTAAAATGCACTCAAGTCATTTTAAGCATCTAATAGCATCATAAATAAAACTTTACTTGGTAAAGACAACAAATAACCGGTATCTTTCCCTTTAGTATTATCACTAGGTGAATATGCGAGTATTGGTTCTTTCACCAAGTTCCAAAGTTCCCAGACAAGTACTAATTCATGCAGGATATTGCATGGGCAAATCACAGGTTCACTTTAAGAATTTTTTTATTTAATAAAAGCTACACAAACAGACACTTTTACCAAAATGATACATTTAGAGTTATAAACAGTTCTGCCATTAGAATCTATTTTTTGTTTTTTGTTAAGACCAAAAAAAAAAAAAAAAGAGTAAAAAGTCCAGTTGCAAAACTGGTTCAAAATATATGAACGCATGCAAAATAATATACATATATAATCATCATGCTCTCTCTGATTTTCAGATAAGTTACACTTACTGCTAATAGATGCTTCTCCTTAAATGGCCAACTATTATTTTTTCCAAACATCAAAACTTTATATTCTGTTAATGTCATGGAAAAATATAAATGTAAAATAAATATAAATGAGTATAAAAAGAAATGTAAGTTTTCCTCTGCCATCTTATCAACATTTGCTTACTCTCCATCGCTTTCTTCACTGCTCCACCCCACAGAAGGGCGTAGGGTGAAAGAAGAGTCCGAATCATATCCAGTATAATCCATTTAAGGAGGTTATTGTATTGTGTGGCTTCTCCATGTATGTATCTAGCCCCTGTGCTATGTGTGTATGTCTCTCTCACACTCTCTAGACTATAAATGTGAACGCCTTTCAAACTTCATGCTTGCAAGGTCACTGATATTCAGATGGCATCTTCTGTGTTACATTTCACTATAGTGTAGCAAGCTCCTAGCATATATATCACTGTAGAATTCAGACAACATGTTTTAATGGCAAACAGCTTTCACTTATATGATGCATCATACTGTGTTGTAAATAGTCACAAGTTACTAACATTTGTTCCTTGGAAGAGCCCACTGCTGCTTATGGCATGGGAAAGCTTCCTAAAATAGACCACCTTCATTATAAAATCTTTTACCTTTACTAGTGTAGGATTACCCCCTGCAGGGGCCGCTTGATAATGCTTGTTCCCAGTGGTTGCCCTGACCGTGCAAGCCTTTTGACACTCTGGGTTCAGACATATTTCAACAGTACAGGATAATAATGCAAGAGAGACAATTCTTTAGTAACACCTCTATATTAGACTTATTCAAAAGAGTAGACCACAAGAATAATAGGTTTAGGCTATATAAAACCCCAGTTAATGACTAAAAATAGAACACTGGTATAACAGAAGTAGTCAATTAGGAATGTTTAACAAATTTTACACACATGAGTAGTAAGCTTTAACTATTTAACTGCAGTATCAGCAGTAAAAGGGGGAAGAAAAGGCTTTTTGAGCTTGTTGATGTATCAGCTCTGTCTAGGCCATCACTGTTGCAATGGTGGATGAAGAAAATTATATAAATGTATACTCTCATAAAAAGTTAAAAGTATCCTATTTTTTTTATAACAATGGCCTTAGAAGAGAAGAGGTCCCTTTAACTAGAGATTGAAACTTGAGTCCTAAAGTCACTGATATGATGGTGTCTGCTGCCTTCTGCTAGCAATGGGGGTGCCCATAAACATTAGTGAATACTGATAATTCAATGAAGTTAAACAGGTAAGCAATAGTACTGCTAAAAGCAAAGATCTGATAGTGAGGTGTAAAGGTGTTTGCAGTGTCTCTAGAGTGATGACAGAAAGAGGATGGGCATCTGTCCGCTCACCAATCCCATGAATAGTACAGCCTCTTAGGAACAAGAGTTCTTGCACAGGCTCTTGGTTAATGCAGGGATGTGCAGAGTTGACAACTGATGGCCTGTCAACGCAGTGAGCGGAGATGTCTGTGTGAAGACCAGTCCTGATGCAGAGAAGCTGATGTGATTCCAGTGTGGTGATCAGCATCACAGCTGTGTTCAACTAATGTGCAGGGTCCCACAGCAACTTCCTGTGTTCTGCTCTAAATCCCCCACCAACAGAGCGAGTCAGTCCCTGGCTGTAGAATATATCTGCTCTCCCAGGATCCTTCCGGTTTGCTAACTCTCTGGTTGTTGTATTTCAATCAGCACTCAAAAATACAATATGTACTGATTATAGGACTGCAAGTCCCAAGATCTTCTGCTGTCAGGAGAACTGGATCCACTTTGCTAACAGGAAGTGTAGGAAGTGTAGCAGACCCAGTACTGGGCACTAGGGGAAAGGATTCATAATAGTCTCATCTGTAAATGTCCCTGAAAGGCATAATGATATAGACAACACCTGACTAGTTCAGTTTAATAAAACTGATCAGTTATCTTAAACCTTTTTAGATGTTTCTAGGAGTTTTGGGAACTCCTTGGGCAAAGTAACCTGATGACAGGAACATAGTGGTAATCCAAGCAAAAGCAGGAACAAAAGTCTGGCCACAGGGCAGACAAACTTGAAAACAGGTACAAGGTCAGACGCAAGACCAAGGACTTTACATTTACAGGATAACAGCACCTAGACAGTAGTAAACTGTGCTGTCTGTTGATGAAGACAGCATGAAGGAACCAGGAGTGTAAAAAGGGAATTTATGTAGTAGGAAAACTCTCAGTATAGGATAATCAGGATAAGGGATGAGCCAAACAGCTCTGGGTTTGGTTCATCAGGTGTTCTGCTTGGATGCTAGGTGTATTGCTAGGTGTTTCAATGCCGAACCCGAACATCATTGAAGTCAAAGGAAGACGCCCTGTCAAATCAAAAATGCTTATTTTCGGAGATAATAGGCAAGTGGGTGAAAAAATATAGCATGTGGGGTGGGCACTACCCTGTGAAACATGTACAAAAAGTTTAATTCTATACAGCCAGAAGCAGTGATTTTCTATCACTGACATTTACAAAGAAAAACATTTTAGAATTGCTGGCAAATGACAACGACAGCTGCCATTGCGGGCTTCTTTGTTTTAATAGAAGACCTCCACCAAGGGTCTGCTATTTTTTTTGTGGGACATTTGGAGGGCTTTGTGTGTTTTTTTTTTTTTTAAGAAAGAAGCTACCAATGAATATCATGTGTCAGCAATTAAAACAGTTTCATTTTTTCTTTGTAAATGTAATTTTTGTGTAGCCCAACCCACAGCAAGAATGGAAAAATATTGAATAGAGTACTCCCCATAATTCCAGAACCTTTATGTGTCTTATAGATTTGAGGGGGTATCACACACAAAAAAAGTGAGCAGTCCCCCAGGAAATCCATAGTACACCCTTTGGGTCTTGCACGGATATTAGGAGAGACTCCAAGCCAAAACCAAGCAAAAGCAAAAAAAAATAGTGAGTTCCTCTTAAAAATCCATATCAGATGCCTAATTCAAACATGCAGTCTGGCAGGTCAGGAAAAGGGGAAGGGGAGAGGAATGTTCGGTCTTTTCCCTTTCTCCCACCTGAACCATACCAGACCATATGCACTTAGAAATGGGAAGGGTGCTTTGCCAGGGGGGACCATCCACAGAAAAGTACATTGTCCCCATGTTGATGAAGACAAGGACTTCTTCCCCACAATCCTTGCTCAGTGGTTGAAGTGGTTTAGGATGGAGGGTTTATAAGAATATGGAAGCCCCCTTTAATAATAAGGGGACCCCCACATACTGCCCCCCCCCAGATGAATGAGAATGGAGTATATACAGGTGAAACTTGAATAATTAGAATATCATGCAAAAGTTCATTTATTTCAGTAATGCACCTTAAAAGGTGAAACTAATAGCAAGATAGTTCAAGCCGTGATTTGTCATAATTGTGATGATTATGGCTTACAGCTCATGAAAACTCCAAATCCACAATCTCAGATCATTAGAATATTGTGAAAAGGTGAAATATTCTCAGCTCAAAGTGTCCCACTCTAATCAGCTAATTAAGCCATAACACCTGCAAAGGGTTCCTGAGCCTTTAAATGGTCTCTCAGTCTGGTTCAGTAGGAATCACAATCATGGGAAAGACTGCTGACCTGACAGTTGTGCAGAAAACCATCATTGACACCCTCCATAAGGAGGGAAAGCCTCAAAAGGAAATTGCAAAAGAAGTTGGATGTTCCCAAAGTGCTGTATCAAAGCACATTAATAGAAAGTTATGTGGAAGGGAAAAGTGTGGAAGAAAAAGGTGCACAAGCAGCCGGGATGACCGCAGCCTGGAGAGGATTGTCAGGAAAAGGCCATTCAAAAGTGTTGGGGACTTTCACAAGGAGTGGACTGAGGCTGGAGTCTCTTGGGGAGCCATGTCATCTGCTGGTGTTGGTCCACTGTGCTTCATTAAGTCCAGGGTTAACGCAGCCGCCTACCACAAGATTTTGGAGCACTTGATGCTTCCTTCCGCAGACGAGCTTTATGGGGATGCTGACTTCATTTTCCAGCAGGACTTGGCACCTGCCCACACTGCCAAAAGCACCAAAACCTGGTTCAATGACCG